AGGAGCTCGTCTTGTAAAGATGCCGTATTTGTCGAACTGCCATCTGTCAGCTGAGAGTTTACAGCCCTAGCACGCTTGTTTGTTTTATGTTCCCGTGTGGGGAATACTATCTTTTTAAGGACGGTTCGCTCACTTTGCACTGGTGGCCCTGATGTTCAAATGCTCACCTGCAGGACGATGGAAAAGGTGGATTTTTTTAGTATTTTAAGATCCTCCCCCTCCCTCCCCGCCAGATCTGCTTGTTCCCTGTTTCTAAGTGGCCGCCTGCTCGCTAGCGCAGGGCCCCTGGTTAATGGCGCTGCGCTGAAGGTCTGAGCTGTGTCGGTGTGAATTCCTCGCTTCTCTTTGTTCCCTGGGGGGAGCTAAGCCTCTGCTCCTGTCCTCCCTCTCCCTCTCGTTCCCTCTCTCTCTTGCTCGTGCTCCGTCTCTCTCACTCATTCTCCCTCCCTTCTTCTCTCTTACTCTCTCTCTCGTTCCCTCTCTCTCTTGCTTGTGCTCCCTCTCTCTCTCTCTCACTTGTACTCACTCCCTCCCTCCCTCTCTCTCTCGCTCCCTCTCCAGCTGGTTCTGTGCGCCACAGGCTGGTCACATGGTGCAGGGGCGGGCTGTTTGTTTTCATCACATTCAATTCTTTGTTCTCCAGACCCAGCCCAGAGATACGGTTTCCCTTCGGATAAGCCAGCAGTCTGAAAGAGAAGGCAAGCGCGTCGGCGCCCCCTCGGCAAAGTAACTCCCATCAGGCTAGAAACGAAGTCCGTGTCCCTGGGGATTTGGGGTTCTCTGGCTCCCCACCTCCCACCTCCTTGTGGCTGAATGGGGCATTCCCTTTTATTGGAGGGAATAATATAATTCAGTAACTTCTCAAACCAGCGAACCCCCTTCCCCTGTCGTTGTTGTTCTTCCTCTCCGCGGACGTTTCCGTGTTCTCCTGCGTGTGTGTGTGTGTGCGTGTGCGCGCCAGTTACGAGTAAGACATGCCTGAAGCGTGTATAATTCAGTACTGGGAGTCGGCAGACGTTTTGTGCAAAATGGGTTAAGTTTGATTCCGAAAAAACCTCAAGGGTTTCTTTTTCTTTGTAAAGGCACACGGTTAAAAATAATCCATACACTTATATAGGTCTGGGGGACTGCCCTGCAGCAGTCAGAGTGCGCCAGTCGGCTCCCCACACACCAGCTCTCAGTGGGGAGGAGAGCAGTGATGAAGCCAGTCCAGAGGTGGGGTCTGTCCAGTCCTGTGGGTGTTTGTAATCCACGCCACACACCCCTGGATGATGTGTGCTCCCTCTTTGACTTCTATCGGCAATGCTGTGAGCACGCCATGGTGTTCACTGGCTTTGGGAATCTATCCCACGTGTGTTTGCGCTAGACAGTCTTGCAGCTGGGACATCTTTTGAGAGGACAAGAGGATGCGTTCTGAACCCTGCTGGGTTCAGCCTTCGCACTGCCAACGTGCTACAGGAGAGAACTGGCTTCCTGCATGTTCCTGCAAGTGTGAACGGACCCTGTCCAGCGCTGCCTCCAGGCTTTCCTTCATCTTCCTCGCTTCTCGCATTGTCTCCTGGTCCCACGGGGATGAAGGTGTGAAGTGAATCCTCTCATCCGTGTTGGGGTGAAAGGTCAGACAACCTGTGACCATGTGGATTTTCTCACGTTTTGTGAAGCACACACCTCCTCTTCCAGGGAATGTGGTTCTTGGGTGCAGTTGGTCATAAATGTAAATATTACTTGCATGTGTCTTTAGTGTAGGACCTGGTAATGTTCATCATCCAGTACCCTCTTCGTTTTCATTAAGAGAAATGTTTAAAAAATGGTTGCTGTGCTTACAATATTGCTGGAAATGTGGTAGGTATAGTGATGTGACTTTAACATCTTTATTTAGGTATGTTTTAGTCCTCTTCAGCTATATTTTATTTTATTCAGCTCTGATTTCAAACCTAGCAAACCAACACATGATCCATATGGCTTCTAGGAACATTGCTGTGGGAGTGACAGTCACAGTTTACCTTCTCACTCACATTTCTGGACATTCTCCACTTAACACAGAGGTCTTCTGTGGATGGCAAAACTTTACCGCTTTCCTGCTGACACTTTTCTGTTGATGCTGTACTTCAACAGGAATAGGAACCTAGCAGGTCGATTTCTGCCAAGATTTGCAGAATAGCTCTTAAAAACACGTCGAACGTCAAAGCACATATTTAAACTTTGGGTGTCATTAATTTCACCGATTTCAGTTCCTTCCAAGGTCAGACAGCATTGGATTCTACAATTCATTGTTATGCACGGTGTGGCCATTATGTTTGAAACAATTCACTCCTAAGCTGTGACCGGTGGATGCAGAAAATCGTGGGTGGTTTTTCTCTTTTAGACGTACTTGTCAAAAAATTGACATATACACTTGAAGTATTTTGCAGATTCAGATTCTCATTAGCTTTGAGCACGTCCCGTCATCATCCTGCATCAGTGAGAATCGTACTTGAAACTGCCTTTATCAGCGTCTCAATCGCCTGCATTCCCACTGTAGCGCAGTCTTCTGTGGAAGACGGTGGAACTGCAACATCCTCTGCTGTTTTGTTGCCTCCCCCTCCCCCCACGCAGGCATGCATACCGTGTTCCTGGCCAGCGCACTTTTGCAACCCAAGGCCAGCTTCAAGATGACCTGGGGCGTCGGGCTAAAAAAAAAAATGTTATCAAGCCAGCAAAGGGTTCCTGAGAAATAATCATCTAGCAACTGCTCGTTAGCTGGGCAGCACTCTTCATTGTTCTCCAATCAACTGTTAATGGTGATATAGCGCCCCCTGGATTGCAGTTCCCTCTCCTGGCTTGCTGCTTCCATTTCAGTTTTCCGGCTGTCCTCCTACCTCTGCTTATATGCTGTCCAGGGCTTGGAATTTTGCTTAGGGAAAACCACATTTAAATTTCACTTAAGAGGTGGAATAGCATATTTTGTCTACCTCCCATCTAAACAATTTTTGTCCATGCAAATTGTGTTACACAACTGCAAGGAAAGTATAGATCGCTTTTTTCCCCATGTCATATTGTAAGTTTCTTATTTACATATCCCACAGACTAGACCTATGTCAAACCATCTAGACCTATGACAACATAATGTTCATTTCAGTAGAATTTTAAATGGTTTTATTTTCTGGTCCTGTGTACTTCCATGTCTGGGTCAAAAGCAGATTTGCTTTGAGCTAGAGGAGGATGGAGTCTCCCCTGCACAGATTGAAAGACTGTTTATTAGTGTAAATGAAAGGATCTTATGTGCCAGTCAGAAGTTGTTTCCCCTGGGCTGTGGGCTGGATATGCGTCGGGGTGTCTGGGTGATGCCTGCAGGACCAGTGTCTCAAGGGTGTGTTTGGGTGATGCTCCCTCTTTCACAGGCTGGTCAGACCTGGCCGTTAAAGCATTGTCCACATTTTTGTATTGAGCACGATGATGCTCTGGAATCTCTCTCAGCTGTTTCCTTCAAGAATCAGTTATACCCATGCCTGATGCACGTGCCTTTGAAAACAGGTTGCTCAGTGACACTTTCCTGAAGGGGGATTAATTCTCTGCTCGAGTCAGAATGGAGAATTTTAATACCTCTCCGTTTTGTGTTGGTCACTCCCGATTAAAACAAGTGAGAAAACAGGCGCTATAATATTTTGTTCCATCTGAACCTGGTTGCAGGTTTTCAGGTTTTCAGGCTTTCCTGTCAGGTCTCAGTTATAGTGGGTCAAGATCTTCGATTACACAGATCAGCCACTGTATTGCGTGTGACTCAATGTGAAGGTGCTTATTTGTGTTCCAAGAAGCTTTCATATCGTCAGTCCATTGTTTTGTTTCCAGTTTCCCCCCCCCCAGTAATTGAAATTTCCTTTATCTTGATGTTGTTCCCTCAAAACTGATTATTAGATCACCTTCAGCAACTTAATACCCCGTATCTAAGACACAGGCATTATTGCAATCATCATATCAGTGATTGGAAGCTGGTTTTGTCCTCTCTCAGGGGAGCTGGCATGAGTCAGGGTGTTCCGAATCTATTTCAACACAGCAGCTCAGCCCCAGCTTTGAGGGAGGGGGGGGGGCTCTTTTTTTAAAGATGTTGCAATAGTAAACACATTTCCTGTGACTGTGCATTGACTAAGCTGTTAAATTCCATTCAATTCTTAGATCGGGCTGTTTATCTGAGCAGCCTGTCAGAAAGAGGAGGTAGGCACAGCTAGGTTTTAATTACTCATCAGAGTGACGTTCGGTGTTTAGGACTTTTGTATTGTTGTATTCTTGTATTAGAGATGCAACAAGTGAAGTAGCTAATTGTTAGTGACTGTAATTGTGGCTCACTTAAACCACATAGGGCAGATTCCATTAAAAAGGAGAATCCTTTTACAAATGTGCAAACGCAAGGGAGATTATCAGCATGCGGGAACCTCCTCTGATTTCAGGAGCCTGTGGAAATGTACACAATCCAACTCGGAGCACATCAGCCACGTTGCTGTCTGGGGTATGGTACTTAATAGACATTGCAAAAAAGAAACTCAGTGACATCCAATGGGGACTGAAGACTAAACAGTTTAGATGTCAGGTACAACTTCAGTGCATCTTATCAACATTGAGCAAAATGTGAATTTTAATTAAAAACAGAACTGGAAGTCAGTCGTGTAGACTTAAGACCGAGTTTCAACACCTTAGTTCTGTCCCTTGAAAAAACATACCTTCCTTGCGGTGTGTTTTGCTGTCGCAGAGTGTTTTTTGTTTTCAACCTGGTTGCTGCTTTGCCAGCGCTGAGCCAGACTGTACTTGAGCTCTGTGTCAGTGTGGTTCTGTCCCCGTGCTCATCGGGAGGTAGGCCGGTTGAGTCTGTCGTTGCAGTCTGGTCGTCAGTCGAAGGTGTTGAGCGTGGAGGCGAGAGTCCTGTTTGTGTAGCCGTTGCCGGACGTCGCGTCCTGCCTGGGTCAGGCTGTGCGGGAGTGAGTGGCGTCAGCCAGAGGTGCTGATCACCTGTTCTCTTCTCTTCGCAGGTGGAGGAGGGCAGAAGGAAGATATGCCGTGGAGAGGGCCTCCATTGTGAGTCACTGGAACTGGCTGCAGGCTCACATTTCCGACCTGGAGTATCGGATCCGTCAGCAAACTGATATCTACAGGCAGATCCGTGCAAACAAGGTCAGTAAAGGAGAGGGGTGCACTGCTCTGTGTACCTTTTCTTCGGACAGTGGGTTTAATGGCACCTTACCATCCCAGTTAACATTGCGTTGTAGTGTGGTGCAGAGGTTTTGGAAGAGGTAGGAAGTTTTACCAGCTCCCTTACAGTTCCAGTTGCACTCTTGAAGATCTGATAGTATACAGATTTATTCCTCGCAATAGTGACAGAAGATTCACGCCACAGGGATTATTTAGAAAGTGCACAATCAAACATTTCTGCAAACCAGCATATCAAAGACCTTTCAGGTATAATTTAACGGAATTGCTTTCCAGTTCCCTTCAAGTTGTATTTCACTTCACATTCATGGATAGAAAGTCTCCTGTGATTTTGTGAAGTCTGTAAAGCTCTGAAATAGTTAAAAAAAGCTAAGTAAGTCAAAGCCCATCACAGTTTTTATAGTCCCAGTTTATTATATTGCTTTCATCATGCACAGTTATTCAACCAGCTCTGGCTTGGAATATTGTGCCCCCAAATTAAACACTTGCTAGGCCGCTAGAATGGTCTGAAACTGTAAATGAGGCAGAGGATGATGGATGGTGTCGTAGTTGCTTTGCAAGTGGTCACACACCCATACCTTTCTGTGTTAAACTGAGCTGGGCGGAGCTTCATCAGCGTGTCTCATGTTGGCAGGGCATGATAGTCCTGGGAGACTCCGCCCCCTGTGACATCACCGCCGAGGATGGTCTGGAGGTGAAACTGGAGCCCTCCGCCTGCAGCCACCTCATACAGGTAAGACGGAGCTGCTCCGGGATGGTGCTGGGTGAAGCAGGCAGCCTTCTGAGCAGCTGCAGAGTGCCTGGTGGCAGAGCCTGTCCGGCCATGTTGGGCCTGCAGCCTGTCACAAGTGATCTCTGAGGAAAGTCTAGCAGACATCAAAACCTACAAAGCATTGCCATGGATGCATGACCTGATCTGGTTTGCACTGATCTTGCAGATTGCTGTCAATCCCAAGACACAGCAGGACAGATATTTTAAAAGTAAAGGGTCATATTAGATCCGTAGGTGGACTTCCTGAGTGTTTGTGTTGTGTCCATTTTAATTGTAATTATTGCTGCATTTCATGAATTTATATCAGCTTTATGTGGTTGTTATTATAGGAGAGTGGAGTTGAAATGTGATCAGGTGTGTAGTCTTAGAGCCCAATTAATTTAAGGAGTTTGGCTGACTGTGTGTTTTGAGGTCCGCAATGTGGAGAGCAAGAGCAGACCAATAGCTAATGTCAGTATGTAGGGTAGTTTGGCCATATTCCCCTACTCTGGCAGTCTGGATAACATGTCTGCAAAAACATGTTGGTTTCTGGTGGACAGTTTGATCCAGTTTGTCCATGTTCATAAAGGAAGATGTTAAAAGTACATGTGGCTCTTCAAGACGTTTTTGTGTGTGGGGAAAAAAACCCAGACCGCTTCTCTGTTGTACACTTCAAGATGACTGACAACCACATCCTTAGTTTCAGTGATCTGAAAGGGGAAATTCCACCGCAGAATCTACTGGTGCTAAAATTCCCCTATTGGACAAGTTCTAAACAGCACCTGCAGCCCCAGTCTGGCCCTCTGCCTGTCCCATAGAGGCTGCAAACTAGAATTATTCACTGAATCGAACAGTTTCTCCTGGTAGTGGAGGCGAGTTGTGGGCGGAAGTCGGGACAGTGCTGGTCTTTGTTTTCGGTTGGACAGAGTTAAGCTTTTCCACGCGGCGCGACCCAGGAATTCGCTTGTATTCGGACACCTCTCCCCATGTCTGGGCAGCTGACTGACAGGAGGCATCAGGGATTTCTAATCGCTGTGGCTGTTTTGCAGGACAACCGCACTTCGGACGCGTCGGAGAGCCTGGCCCCTCCACACAGCCCCCCTGTCGACGGCGCCCCGCGGAAGGCCTGCGCCCCTGCCCGGCCCGTCAATGGAGTCATCAACAGGTAGGACACGTGTTTCGTTGTGCTGATAACGCAGCGTCCCGGAGAGGGTGTAGCGTGTTGTTGCCGCCGCGCGGCCCGGGACCACCTTGACGTGACTCTTGCGACCTCTCGCCCGTAGTCTCCACCGCGGCCTGCCCGACGCGGGGTCGCCCGACAGCTCCGACACGGAGGAGCTGACGGGCAAAAAGCAGCGCCTGAACCCGCTCCCCTCGCCTGCCGACAGCACGTGTGTGGCCGCGCGGACACGCCCCGTCCTCACCTACAAGAAGCGGCGGCTCGTCAGGCCCAGTGCCGTCGCCAACCTGAACCGTAAGGTGAGAGAGCCGAGCCGTTGAAGTGTCCTGCTGGCTTTCGGACAGATCCTTGCCTTCAGGGCTCTTTCCCATGCATCCCCAGTCTGCACACCTGGCAGTGGTTTTTACAGCCCCTAAACAGTTCCATAAAGCAACTTAATAGCGCGAGTGGTGTTGATGTAGTGGGTTTGGTGCAGAATAGATCTGGCACGTTGTTCATCCTGCAGTCACTGAAACCGGCTGTGTCGGGATTGGTTGCCAAAACTTATTTTGCACCTTTTCGATTCTAACGAGGATGGGGGGGGGGCTCATAGATCCCCAGAAATGGGGCCTGGTCTTTCTGGGAGTCGCGCTCACCCCTGGTCTCCGGTCAGCAGGTCCAGCGGAGCGCGGGGCCGCGCTGCAGCTGTGACGTCAATCCGCAGTGCGTCATCTGCGGCAGCCGCGTGTCGCCGTCCCCGGAGGTCCAGTACGAAGCCCCGCTGCTGGAAAGACTGTCCCTGTTCGACCCCTGTGTCCACCCCATCCTCTCCTTCTCCGATGGTAAGCACCTGTGCACCATGTCTTTACTAACATGAACTCTCTCCGTAGTCTAGAAATGTGCTTCAGGTGGAAAAGATCAGGCATTTTGAGTCCTTCTAGTATGTCATTGTCATGAGCAGTTCTCAGCATTTTCTTTGCTCACTGTATCGCTACCTTTCGCTAGGAAAAGGGAGCGATCTTCATGCCCTTGATTTACGGAAACACGTTTAGATCAAATCGGTATTGAACAATATTGTGAAAAGTAAAAATGGTTACTTAGGAGAGTTCGGCAGGAAAAACAATTGGGCAGAAAAAAAATATTTGATTCACGTTTAGGTTTGCCTCTCATTGACATGTTTGGATTTCTCAATGACTGAGGGATGTGTAGAATTCTAATTCAAGGAAAAGTGGAGGCAAAAAATAAAGCTTGATCTTAGGACAGTGTTTAAAATTCTGGCATAGGGCACCATCTAGTGGAGCTCCAGGGAAAGTTTAGATTGTTAAAAAAGATTGATGTTTCATTTTTAATATAATTTCTACTCACTTTCTACAAAAACAGTAACAATATCCAAATTGCTAAATGAATCGACGCTTGATTGGTCTGAAACTGGGAATGTGGCAGAGGAAGATAGTATAATAAATATAAAGAGTGGTTATATAAATAAGTATAATAAATAGTGTTGTAGCTGTCTGCCTATATTGACTAACAGGATTTAAATAAGCTCAGTACCCCAACTCCCTCTGGTTCCAGATGTGTCCATGAACCTGCACTTCCAGAGGGTGATGAAGTCGCACTGGCAGAACAAACCTCTGGAGAAAATCAAGCCCCTTAAGAAGCTCTCCCTAAAACACAAAATATCCCTGTCCGGTCGCCTACCGGACTCCACTTCCAAAGACAAACACAAGCTGACAAACTCCCTGCTTGCAAGTAAGTCGTGACCTTCTTACAGTGTTTCATTTTTTCCAGCTCCCTCTGTTTTCATGAAGTCTTGAGTTGATGCAAGTTTGTAATATTGGGAAGCCCTTTGCGGAATCCTAACATGAGCACACAGTGTTACCGGTGCGTTTGCATTAAAGGAGAACTGCAGCACTATTTTTGTATTTGATTTCATACAACAGTAAAAGTAAAAATGTGCAGAGTATCTTGTAGCGGGCGGAGCGGTGGCTCTGTGGCTAAGGATCTGCACCTGTAGCCGGAGGGTTCCTGGTTCGAATCCCGCAGCCGGCAGAGGGGTTGTACTCCGCTGGGCCCCTGAGCAAGGCCCTTTACCCCAACTGCTCCAGGGGCGCCGTATAAATGGCTGACACTGCACTCTGACCCCAGGCTTCTCTCCCTGTCTGTGTGTCTCATGGAGAGCAAGCTGGGGTCTGTGAAAATACAAATTCCTAATCCAAGAAATTGTATATGGCCAATAAAGTGGTCTGATCTAAAACCTCCAATTTATACCAATTTTGGTTGCATTTACAGTAATTTAATTGACTGTAAACAAACAGGCATATGAATACATCTCTATTAATCCAATAAAATTATAGCTATGGATTTCAAGAGCTGACAAATACTCCTTGTCAGTAGTGAAATGTCTGCTTCGCAGCCTGCAGTTATTCACTCATACATTACGTTACATTAGTCACTACAGTGACTAGTGAGAAGGAAGGGCCAGCTTGCATCACATTGCCATTCATGGGAACCCGGTCTCGCCCGTGGCGAGACCAGCGGTTTGCAATTACTTACAGCACTTTCAGAAAGTTCACTATTTTGTGACTAATTTGAAATTTCAAAAACTTCTCTGTTATATGGTCAATGAATTCATTTTGTTACCATGATTCAATAGCCAGTCTAAGAAACGGGGACTGAAGTTCCCCTTTTAATGCCACGGCTCTTCCAAGAGGAGGCGCTGATCCGTTTCCCCCCTTCCCGCTCCCCAGGGCTTTCGCACCACAAGGTCCGACCCGACAAGCTTCACCGGCAGCAGCAGCAGCAGCTGGACGAGCTGCTGAGCATGTCGAAGCTGGAGAGGACGCCCGCGGAGCGCGCCCCGGCCCTCACCCCCACCGCCTACGACAAAAGCAGCCACAGCAGGAAGAGGCAGCGAGAGCACTCCATCGAGAGGACGGACAGTGAGTAGGCCCTGCTGCACCTGCCCCTGGCCAGCTCACACGTGGAGATCATGATGTAGTGGCAGCTCGGAGTAGCTACTTACAGGAAAATATCTTGGGGGGGGGGGCAGGTGTATGAAAGGTGGTCTGGTTCTCCTGAGATTAATGCTACCAACCATCCACCATCCAGGTGGGGCTGCACACTGGTGGTGGTGTAGGGGAGTCTCCATTACCCGTAAAGCGCTTTGAGTGGAGTGTCCAGAAAAGCACTATATAAGTGTAAGCAATTATTATTATAGCTGTTTTTTCTAGTCCTAAAAATGTTGCCACAAGCTTGCAGTGTAAAGCCTCATATGGGGTGATGCACTGCTTGGAAACTGCCTGGTTACAGTACCCTAGCCACTTTTAACCTGGTCTTCTTTTTTTTTCTCGTTTTTGTCCCGTTCCTTCCCAGCAACTCCCAAGATTTTCCTGGACACAGGAAGCCCGTGCTCCACCTCCCTGGCGAGCCTGCACACCCCTGCCCACAGTCCCTTGATGAGGCAGCTGTCCACCTCCTCGGAGAGCTCCACACCCCTTGCTCCCAACAGTCAGAGTGCCAGCAGTACCCCAGTAAGCACAGGGCACCGGCGCCCCTTCTGAGTAAGGAGGCCCTGCTCAGTGCAAAGGCCTCTTCTCACTCTTGTTTTGGCAGTGTTGATGAGTTATTGGGTGATAAAAAAACATGCTAATTTAATCCTTGCAGGTACACTTCCAGCAGAGCCTCACACACAGACGGGCACTGTACTTTCACAGATATCTCTGGTCTGATCTGTGTGTCGAGCTAGTGATTTTTTTTTCTTCCATTTTTCATTGGCTGATAAATCAGCAGTTTAATTCCAATATGCTCCTCTTTTGTGTTTGAACGGGGTTTGTTCATCCTGTCATCCAAAATATTGATCATTTAAACATGTCTTTTTTTAATGCTTACTAGACAGCACGCACACAGTTGATTTAAACATAACCAGTATACCCCCAGCGTTCGTTACCATGATTTTTACTTTTTCTTTGCTGTGTTTTCCCAGCAGCCAGTGCGAAGGCGAAGAGGCGAGAGTTCCTTCGACATCAACAACATCGTGATTCCAATGTCTGTCGCGGCCACAACTCGAGTCGAGAAGCTCCAGTACAAAGAAATCCTGACGCCCAGGTAAAGCGCTGTACACGATCTGGGCGCAGTGAACTTTGCAGCTTTAAAATCCAGCTGGAGACGTTTCAGTCTCCAGGATTATAGCATTGAGCATTTACAGATACAGCTAGGTAGATGATCTTTCTCATCCGAGATGCTTTCTATTTTGCGACAGCTGCTTGTGCATTTTTATTTGAATAAAATAACTTCAGACTTCTCAGATAAAGATGATGATTTTACAAGGCAGCATGTACTTTACAGTTTCTGCTCAGTGCTACATAACGCATTTCATTGTATTAGTTTTGATGTCAGTGTTAATGTTTGAATGCTTAAAATTGATCAATTTGTGAACATACTTGATCTTCAATCTTTTCCAGTTGGAGAGAAGTGGATATTTGTGCACAGCCAATAGCCGAGGAGGATGATAGTGTTGAGGTATGCGCTTGCCAAACACGTGCTATGTCGCGCACGTCCTGTAGTTTTCTGCATGAAGAGCGAAGATTGAGGGTTAAGGGCCCGGCGCAGAGATGAGCAGTGTGGTTGGATTGGTTTGTGATGTGGGAGTCCATTTGCTCCCCTAGTGTTCAGAAATCCCTAGGGATGCATCAGTAAGGCCAGCAAGAGCAAGTGACCTCCATAAGGCCCTGCGATAGGGTCGGGGTTGGGGGGTGGGGAGAGTGTGGATCTGTGGCTGTAAGGACCGCTCTGACGGGGCTGTGCTCCCCCTGTGCTCCCAGATCGAAGACCTGTCGGACGCGGCGTTCTCGCAGTTGCACTTGAAGTGCGAGGAGCAGGAGCGCTCGCGGTGGACCTGGACAGCCAGCGCTCCCGCCAAGAGACGGGGAAGCAGGTGAGGCCAGCGTGCCGACTTACATTGACCACCGCCGCCCAAACCTCAGGCCCTCCCGGTCGGACATCTCCCGTTAATAATCTGGGAAAGCTCGTGCACCACGTCTGCCTTTTGTGACGTGTACGATGGCTGCTTGTTTGCTGATGTTGGGGGTGCGCCCGAAAGCCTTGCTTTGGTTTTCTAGTGCCTGTGAACTCGGGGGGGTGTTGGTTTTTGTTTGCTCTGGGCCGCTTGTTTAAGTTGGTGGGTTTTTGGGGTTTGCCGCTACACCCCTCTGATCTCACACCCCCCCCTGCTCCTTGTCTGGCGTCCAGGTCTTACAAGTCGTCGGACGGAAGGACGACCCCCCTGCTGGGCGGCACGAACCCCCCGACCCCACAGCCCGCCTCCCCCGACACGGCGCACTTCCAGGCGCTGCAGGACTTCGGGCCCCTGCCCTCCCCGCGCAGCCCCGCCAGCCCCGACCTCCTGTCCAACCCCCACACCCCCGGCTCCCGGGACTCCCACCGGCCGCCCGCCAGCGAGGACACCCGCTGCTCCACGCCCGACTTCAGCTTCGAGGAGCTGGTGAGGAGGCGCGCCGCACAGCTTGAATTCGGTTGTCCCCCGTTTTCGTTTTTTTTTCCCCCTCCTGTGCCCGTGCAGAGCTGTTCCTGCCTCGTCTTGACTCGCACTGTTAGCACAGCTTTCTCAGTCTCTTGGAAAACACGGCGCAGGTGGAGCCGGTTCAGTTAATCCGCTCTCTGCGTGTGTTAGGAAGGTCTCGAACCCTCACAGATTATAACTGGGAGAGGGTGGCACGGGGTCCAGTTTTGCCACTGGCAGCGCTGGTGCCCTGGGTTCAATTCCAGACCTGGGTGCTACCTGCGCTGAGTTTGTATCTTCTCCCTGTGTTGGCATGGCTTTCCTCCTACAGACCAGTAGCTTAACAGGCTGCTGGGAACATTGCTTGTGAGCGTGTGCGTCTGTGTGCCCTGCGATGGCCTGGCGTCACGTCCAGGGCGTACCCTGCCCTTGCCCATTGCTTGCTCCTTCTCCCCTGCAACCCCTAATGAAATGAAGCGGTTTGAAACTGGGTGGATAACTGGGAGGTCGTTGTTGTTTGTTTTAATGGTTTATTAGTATTTTGCAAGCTTGTTTTTTTTT